GAGAGAGAGAGAGAGAGAGAGAGAGACAGAGACAGAGACAGAGACAGAGACAGAGACAGAGACAGAGACAGAGAGAGTGACAGAGACAGAAGAAAGCGAACCAGGGTGGCTGAAGGAGACGGAGATCGAGTAAGTGGGAGGTGGGCAAGTTGTTTTTTTAAACAGGTGAATTCCCATTTTCTTTTTGTTTCGCCTGCTAAACAGAAACTATTCGAGGAGGATGAAGAAAATCCATCGTTTCCTTTAGAATCTAGTATGAAACAACAGTTTGAATTGTGACACACACACGAAACGGCTGAGTTTTTTGTGTAGGGAGATTTGGGGGTAGGAGGACCGGTGTTAAAAATGGAAATATGTGAGGCAGCCAGGTGGAATCAGGCTCTCGTCAAAATAATCAAACTGAAAAAACTTGCATTTTTCCGCAGGTTTGTGAATTTTTATCAGATTTTTGTTTTTGGGCTCAACACCTTTCATGCCCATTAAAGAACTCATTTCTTTTGGATTTTTCTGAAAAATGTTGATTAAAGGCACTAAAGATGAAAATGTTGAGTTACCACGGACTCTTAAGCTAAGGAAATAACTAATCTTTGGTAGCCATTTTCTCTCTAATTTTACCTCTGAAAACAGGTGACCCCCACTTCCTTCATTCTCAAATATCTTGACTTGTTTTTAAGATAAATGGATGTTTTTTTCATCCAAACAAAGACAAATGAACAAGCTTTAAGATTATACCAATAACTCTATATGCCCAAGAATTGACGAGAGCCTGATTCCACCACGATGCCTCACATATGGTTAGAGGAAAAGAACTGCGCCGCAAATAAAGGGCCCGCTGTGGTTGTAGCCGCTTATCTGTGTCCCATCAGCTCCCGTCGCTAGTCTGGACCCCTGGGGGTGGGAAGAGGAGACAGTGAAGGGGTGAGGAGGGAGAGGGAGGGGGATAGGAGACAGGAGAGGGAGAAGGGGGAGGGTAGGGGGGTGGAAGTCATTGGACCAGACAGTCACCAGGATTGTCCAACTCCCACAATCTTCCCCCAACAGATTCTATGTGTCAGCTGGATGTGGCTTGACGTGCTCAAAGTGTGTCTGTGTGCGTGTTTGTTCGTATGTAAGTGTGTGTGTGTGTGTGTGTGTG